TGTTTATCGTAAGAAAACGGGACGGTGTTTGGCCTCGTCGTTCACAACGTCGGGACGTCTCTGAGAATCACACGTCGGTTGTCACAAAGTGGACCTAGCATGATCTCTTCTCCTCCGGTAAGTGTTAATCTTCGATTTTTCTTAGCCTTAGTCCCTCAGATTCGTTATCTGGGAATGCTTGATTTGATTGGTTGTAGAAATTATGCGAGAATTTGGTTTTGGTGAGATGTATGACTCTTCCCTGTGTTGGTTTCAGTGTTCTGTTTCAATCCTGAGATTTTAACTTGGTGTCCTTTTGCAGTGATGTTGAAGCGTAGTGATAAATGGAAATCTCAATACGGATCTCGAAGCCATCGATTAGGATTTACTTTCGTTGTTGTGATCTTACTGTTCGGAGCTCTCTTGTTTTGTTTCAGTGGCAAGAGTCAGGTCACAGAACTGGAACTACCGAGAAATATTTCGAACAGTGTTGAGCCCGAATTGCAAGTTCATCCAACGGTAGAGATTCAAAACAAGACTCATTTGATATGGAAGATACCAAATTCACCAAAGGCGGTTTTGTTTATTGCTCATGGTTGTCAAAGGAAAGCTTCTGACTTTTGGGACAGATCTTCAGATTGTCCGAAATGTACTGGTTTACCAGAGGAGAGGCGTCTTGTTCGATTCGCTCTAACTCGGGAATTCGCTGTTATAACTGTATCTAGTGTTGGAAAATGCTGGACGTTCGGGAAGGAGAAATCGGTTGTTGGAAATGTAATAAAATCATGGGTCGAGAAGCACGAGCTCGAAAGGCTTCCCCTTGTCGCGTTAGGGGCTTCGTCTGGTGGCCACTTTATCTCTGCTCTTGCAACAGAGATGAAGTTTAGTAGCATCGTGCTTATGATAGCCGAAGGAGTCTTTGATCAAATTAGTATCACTAAACAGTATCCGCCGACTCTTTTCGTGCACATGCCTAAAGATGTGTATAGACAACAAAAGATTAGAGAGTTTTTAGAAGGTCTCAGAATGAAAGGCATTGATGCTGCAGAGATTGAATGCTTGGATTTGCCGCTTTCTTCGGATTTCTTGGCAGAGAGGATTCCAGGTCTTGATCCAGATGTCTCGGCCAAACTGTTCAAGCTATTTCAAGACAAGGGGTTTGTTGATGAGAAGGGATACATGAAGCGCGATGGGCGGAGAACGCCGTGGAAACAAGCTCTTAGTGGCTACAAAATATCACTGGAACAGAGTTTGATTACTCCTGTTGAAGAAGAACTGAATCTTGCATATGCATATCATGAAATGACGAGTGTGCAGTCTGAACAAATATTTAACTGGTTTGAATCGCATATGCGATGAGTGTCCGTCAGATTTTCATGTATCAAGATCCTTCTTTGAAAGCTGTAAGATGCATTACAGGACAATACCTCTTACTACAAAGGCACATGTTTGAAGGTCGATTTACGATTTGACTCTGAAAAGATCATGTTCACTCAATCACTCGAATGTCGCTGATGAGACTTGAAAAGACAATTTTGGTAGGGTTTTTCAATTCTTTCTGCATCTTGCTCCTCTGAGATTTCCATTATTTAGTTGTAACGCAAACTATGAAAGACCCTTGGTGTGAAGATTTTGTGTACAAAAATAGAAAATGATAGCAAAAATGAGCATTCTCATCTTTCATGCATTCGGCCAAAAAACCCAAAAAGTCAAAATTTCCATTACACAAAAAAAAAACAAAGGAACAAAGTTATTTCTTTAGCAAACTGAGAACCCTTCTTACAAATCTGATGGATCCTTAACAAACTGTGTTACATCTGATACCAAACTATGATCCACAGGCTTCAAACCTTTTCTCAACCAACGTTTCAACAAGGCCAACTCTAACCTTCTCACCTGCAAATAATTGAACGAACTCCATTTAGCTATACTATACACACGTTTTCAGGCAATTCAAAAAGCGAAATGTGAGATGCGGAAACAGAGTTGTGTTTCCATTCTCTGAATCAACACACCAAAGGCTACTGTACAAGGAAGTAGAGACAAAACCAACCTGTCTAACAATGAAAGGCTCCTCCGCTCTACTCAAAGGCTCCGTTAATACGGTTAGAAATCCGTTTCTGTTACCGTAAACAATATCTGTGAAAGGTCTATCACCCACCTGCTCAAAAACACTTGACACATAAACATCTTGTCTACCAAAGATCAAATTCCAAATTCATCGCTAACATTCATCATAAAAGTTACCATGATTAGCTCTGAAGATGCGCAACCAAAGTGTTTCTCGACTTCTTCAGCGGTTCCTGCAGGCTTCTTTACTCCTAAAATCATGAATCAAAAACACCTCTTATCAGTTCTAAGTTAAAAAGCTAAATACCAAAGAGAATCACAGTAGTTCAAGCCACTTACTATGCCTCAACACTCTAATTCCTGTTTCAGCCTCCAATGCCTTAGCTTTCGAATCATCATGATCATACTCAGTAAGCCCTAATGTTTCACCAGACCCGGAAGTAAAAAAGTTAGCACCTTCAATCAACCAGAACACTACAACCAAACAAAAATTTAAACTTTATCCAAATTTTACCAGCAGAGTTGCTAAACACGGCGATGTCATGTGCAAACACGGCTTTACACCGATCAATCGAAGGCCTGAGTGGTGGCCAAATCGCTAGAGAATAAGGAGCAGTAAGAGTATTATCTTTATCGAACACTACTCCTTTGAATCCCTTTCTCTTAAGCTCTCCCCAGTCAATATACCGTAAATCTTTCACAGAAACATGCGGAAGAACCAAATGACGATCTCTAACAACTACAGAGACCGAAGAAACAATACCCTCTACGTTAATTCGTTGCCCAACAGCCGCTTTCAGATCTGCCCACCACATGTTCGACGAAATTACCAAACCGTTGTTGTCTTTTACACTCGGAAACCCCAATTCGATCTGCTCTGCGTCAAATTCTTCGGAGATCCGGTTAGAGAATCCAGGGTCTTCGGTCGGAGAGCTGAATTGGTAAAGAAGAAACGAATCTTCAAACGTGGGTAAAGGCAGATTCTGCTTTTGGCTTCGATGGTTTGTCGTTTGCAGAGAATAGGATGAAGGAGGAGAAGGAGAGCAGATTGGTTTGGAGGAGCAAGAGATGAAATTAGGGTTTCGTTTGTGATGGGAAGGAGGAAGAAGGAAACTTTTGGGGATTGGGTAGTAGAAAGTAGTGGAGGCAGCCATTGATGAGGTCTGCATCTCAAGCTTCTTTATAATACTTTTTTTTACTTTTATTGACCCAAAAAAAGTAGTTGCAAGTTTGTTTATCGGAAACACGAAAAAAATCCAGATTTCTTGGAACTATTTTAGAAAAAACGATGACTCATTTTCTTCCACACACTTTGATTTCCAAAATTATAAATGGACAGTAATAGAAAGCTAATCAGCTGTCCAAATGTATCAAAGCATTTTCAACTAGTCAAAATTGTATGTTTTGCTCATGTAGACCTGCCTTAATATGGCCACCTTTGAACACATTTTATGGCATGTATACACACTAAATAAGGTACAACATTCTTCACTCTGGTAATCTTGAAGTCTCTGAATACAGAAACAAACGAGCACGAGAAAACTAGAGATTCACGAGTCTTAAGGTAATCTCCGAATCTGCAATGAGTGGATCCAATTCTTGAAAACAAACCTTAATATGTTCTTCCAAGAACTCACTAATGGACTAGCGATCAAGAAAAAATCGAAAAAGAGACTAGCAAAACTGATGAAGAACAGTTCCAAAATGTGCGGCATAATAAAAGCTGATCCCATCAACAAAAACATGGTAGCCAACAAACCAAC